TAACTCCATTTTATAACTCCAACTGAGTATATTTTGTGTAAGATTTCTCACCCACCCACTATTCAGGGCTAATTCAAGCTCAACACATCTGGCTGAGAGTGCAACCTATAATTTGCTAATATGTACATGAAAAAGGAGAAAAGCAAATGTCATGAAAGTGAAATACACCATAAACTTTCTCAATTATACTGAACAATCAGGGTCTGCAGTAATTTACTTTTATCTGAATTTTACAAGTGGGCACCTGAAGCAAAACTGGTTGGACAAACTTTATGCCTAAAGGGACATTTGAACTTTGCCTTGCTTCCTATTCTTCACACAGCAACAGTATTGTTTAATTTATATCAAACTTGCATGACATTTCCTAACAGATCAGGGCCCTTCTGCCTTGAAACAAAAGTTGTAGGGATCCTGAGGAACTCGGCCCTTCCAGACAGGCCTATATCCCGGGATCTGATCACAGGTTTTCTGTTTATCCCAGATTATATTGCAGTACGGACTCATAAAATCCAGTTTAAAGAAGAAAAACTGGAACCAGTTCCTGGGATATAAGGCCTGTCTGGAAGGGCCCTCAGCTTCCTTTTTTGAATGTGTTGTATAATTATAGAAGAAAACCCCAAAAGCATAAAATAAAAGCATCAAAAATCTAAATTAGCTGTATTAATATTTTGCTTTCATTGCTTAAGAGAATACTGAGCTGATAAGATAGTTGATTTATAGCACAAAATATACAGTTTTCTAGGAAATGATACATAATATACACTAAGCATGTTGTGAATGACACATCTACAACACAGGCAAAAACTCTAAAAAGAATCTAAAACTGACTTAATGAAACAAACCTCATGTAAAATAAAGATTAGATTAACCCATTAATTTTAGTTTTGTCCTGCTAAATTGCAATCCAGTACCTAAATTTATTGGGAGCAAACTTCACTGAATGAGCAGGCATAGAAAAGATTGAGTGGTAAATAACCTGAGACATTTATTTACTTAAAATCAAAGGTCAACAGAAACATAATTTAATTTGTATTTCATGAAACAGGATGCAGGCTTTTGAATTAAAGGATTCTTTGAACTATCAATGCTGGCAATTCCTGCCTGGTTTCTACAGGATGCTGCAATAACTATTTCAGATGGTTCAAACCAGGCCTACACAGTTACATTTAATGTTTTATATTTATAACATAGAAAACACACTGATCATCTCATTTTGACTCGTCACTAAATAAATCCTGCCCAAACCTTACCTATGTTTACATCAAATATTTTGGTTTAACACAATGGCATACACACACTCAAAAGAACTAAAATGCAGGGTTGCTGTAAGTTGTAAGACCTCACAACCTCAGAGGATGCCTGACATAGATCCTTCTGAAACATGGCCATACAGCCCGAAAAACTTACAGCAACCCAGTGATTCCGGCCATGAAAGCCTTTGCTAACAAACTAAAATGCAGTTTTTCAAAAATCATAGCACTTTGAACATCTGAAACACTTTTATTGAATTACAAAAACAGGCAGCCTCCAAGTTATGAACAAGATAGGTTCTGTAGATTTAAGCTGAATATGTCTGCAAGATGGAACAGGTATATTTTTAAAGTGTAACTCCAGCTTATATATCCATATCTATCCATCTATCTACCTATATATAAGCTTTGGATAGCACAGGGAAGGATTAAAACCTAATGTGTTTGTTTTGCTGTCTGTACCCCTGTTCAGAAGATTTCACCTCACTTTCTGTCCCTGTGATAATTAGATTTTGAAAAAAATGGTTTGTTATGGAAACAAAGATCAATGATAAAGCTTCAGTGGAGCCACCTTTTCCCCACTATAATTGTTTCAGGAGTAAATTTCCTTCTCTTCAAAGGAATAGATTTCTCTCACTTCCCACTGTCTCGCTCCCGTTCTGAATAATGAATAATTTGTAAGTTGGATGTTTGTAACTGAGGGACTGCCTGTATTGTGACATCAGAAAAGTCTGGCTCAAACGACATGCCAATTTGAGTGACTGGGAAACATTGTGATATCTGGATATTGGTTGGAAGGATGCAAATTAGGCAAAATCCAAGAGGAGAATGTCTTAAACACCCCAGCTGTATTAGTTTGTATTTCAATTTGTGTTGTGTTCTAACACCAGCCAACCTGTTTGCCTTCCTTGCAAGAGACTTCTATATTAACAAATGTAATAGCATAACTTATGTGTATGATATACAGAAATGAAAATAGTGCTTTAATTAAAAAAAGAAAAAAGGTCACAATAGCAGAGGGCTGGATCAATAGCCAGGAAAGACAGACATGCCGGTCCAAACTAAATTGCAGATTAATACATTATAAGGTATTACTGTCTAGACATTTTCATAACTGAAACAGAAGTAGTCAAAATTACACCACCTAGTATGGTGCTCCCATTTTACTATAGAGAGAAGGTTGGATCCTATCTGGAATCTTTTCTGCATTACAGGCAACACCAGCGCTGACTGTGAAGTGGAATATTTATCAGGGGCAGCCAGCAGCAGGAAATTAGCTATGATAATTGGATTTTGAAACAAATTGTTTGTTGTGGAAACAAGCATTGGTGATGCAACTTCAGCGGAGACCCCTTTCCCCCTATGATAACTCTCCCAGGAGTGAATTTCCCTTCCAAGGGGTAGATTTCTCTCACTTCCTGTTGTCTCACACCAGTTCTTAACTATGGGTCTCTTGTAAGTCGGATGTCCGTAACTAAGTACTGCCTATATACTCAAGGGAGTAGGACATGGAAAAACGGAGCTGTGGAAGAGATAGGAAGAGTAATGGGGTATATATTTTTCCGGGAGAGGGGGGGATTGAAACACTTATGAAGAGCCAAGGTTGCTCCAGACTGAGAAACCTAGTGTCTGCTTTCATGGCGAGGCAAGACAAGAGCTCCAATTAATTAGTTAATGGACTTCATGAGTTCCACGTCAAGATTACGGCCTAAGCTTCTCCAATTGTTGCTTACGATACGGCTCCACAAGAGGGGAAAGGCTCCTACTCCCTGGAGCAGGAAGGAGAAGTAAAGTAAAAAACGAGCAACGCGAGTATTTCTTGAGACGCGTCGGCAACCTTTAACTTTGGGCGGCGCTCTCGGATTTCCTGGTTGCTCCTCCGTGGGGCCCGAAAGCCACGATGCGCACACGCCCCGCAGTCCCGCGTGGGAGCCGCCCCACCCCGGGGTCACGCAAAGAGGAAGAAGGGCTCCCTCTCCTCGGCTTTGGCCTTTCACCAGGCACCGGCTGCACCACCAACACTACAACATTAAGGCACTTGGGCACCTCCTGAGAGGTCAAAGAGGGCTCATGCCTCCCCAAACTACAACTCCCAGGATTCCAGAGCATGGAGCCATCGCAGTTAAGGCCGACGTCAAACTCTATTGATTCCATAGTGCGATACACTCCCACCCGACCCCCGAGAAACTACAACTCTTAGAATTCTATCGCAATGAGTCAATTGTCCACTGGATGTGCACCTCTTGGGAAACTACAACTCCTCTTAAGATTCAATAAGGGGGGTTAAGCCGCATTAATGCTGCAATTTGAATGGAAACTTTCTCCCCCTACTCGTGAAACTACAATTCCCAAGATGCCACGGCACTCCTCCTCCAGTATAGACGCAGGCGCCTGCGAAACTACAACTCCCAAGATCCCATAGCAGTTAAAGTGTCTCAAACTGCATCAACTCCCCAGTGTAGACGCACCCTTCCCTTCCGTCGCCTACCCTCCCGGAAATTGCGACGCTTTAATTCCCTTTGCAAAATTAAAAAAAGGCCCAAACCCTCATGATCCCCACCTGGCAAGAGAGAGGAAAGCAAGGAAGGGTGGGGAGAAGGAAAGAAAGGAAGTAAGGAAAGAAGGGGGAGGAAAGAAGGAAGAGAAGGAGGGAGGAAAAGGAAAGGGAGAAAGAAAGAAGGAAGGAAGAAAGGGGGGGGGAAGAAGGGAGGGAAGGAACGAAAGGATGGAAGTAAAGGAAGGGGGAGAGAAAAAGGAAGGAAAAAGGAGGGAGGAAGATGAAAAGAAGGAGAAAGGAGGAAGGAAAGAAAGAAAAGGAAGGAGAAAGAAGGAAGGGAGGAAGGAAGGGGAGAAAAGGAAGAAAGGAAGAAGGGAGCAAAGGAAGGAAGGAGAGGGAAGAAAGAAAGAAGGGAAGGAAGGAAGGAGGGAGAAAGGGAAGGAAGGAAGAAGGGAGAAGGAAGGAAGGAAGGAGAAAGGGAAGGAAGGAAAGGGGGGAGGAAAGGAAGGAGAAGGGAGAAAGAAAGAAGGAAGGAAAGGGAAGAAAGAAGGGAAGGAATGGAAGGAAAGAAAGCAAGGGAACGGGAGAAAGAAGGGAAGGGAGGAAAAAGGAAGAAAGGGGAGGCACCGTCCGGCCTTTCGCCTCTCGCCAATGTCGCAAGCGAAAGAGGAAGAGAAAACAGGGCGGGGAGGAAGGAGAGAAAGAGGCTGCTGCTGCTGCTGGCGGCTTTCGGCCGTCCCTTTCCCCCTTTCCCGCACCCACCATTTCTTTCTTTTCTTCCTTCCTCTTCCTTGAAGGCACAAAGACCAGAAAGAGGGGAGGGGGGAGTGTTTGGGAAAGAAAACAATTCAACAAGGCGGCTGACTTTCAACCCAAGAAGTTTCAAACCCCAAGGGCTGGGGGGAGGCAAGGAGAAGACTTGAAACCACCCTTTTAACTCTCTGGAGGGTGGAAAGAGGAGGGAGGGGGCTTGTTGCCTCCAGGAAGCAACTCCCCACTTTTCTCTCAACACGACCCCCCCCCCTTTCTTTAGAGAGGGACAGAGAGGTGAGGATATAGGAAGCCCCCCCCCTTCCCCTTCCTCAAGCAGCTCCTCAACTCAAGCCTGGCTGCCCCACCTACTTTGTTGATCCGCTCCGGGCCTTTAAAGTGAGAGAAAGAAGGGAGAGAAAAGGTTGGTGTGTGTGGGGGGGGGGGCGCCTTGTTTGTGCGTCGCTCTCGAAGAGGCCCAGGCGAAGGCAGGCACGACTTACCCATCCATGGCACAGACGGGAGGAAAGGAGGAAGGAAGGCAGGCAGGAAGGAAGGAAGCAGGCAGGCGAAGGAAGGAAGGGGGAAGGGAGCGGAGCGAGCCGCCTCGCGCACTCCACACACCAACGGAGGAGGAAAGGAGGGGCGGGGGCGGGGCTGGCGGCGCCTGCGCATGCGCGGCAGCTGTTGCATGCCCGGCCTGCCCCTCTCTTTCTCTCTCTCCCTCCCTCCCTTCCTTCCGACACACCCAAAGCGTCCGTTGGGGGCGGGCGCGCGCACGCTCGCCACCTAGGAGAGTTCGTTGCTATTTGGAATAAGGGGGGGGGGGGGGGGAAAAGAAAAACCGGCTGGCCCCGCCCCCTTGTGTGGGTGGGCGCGCGCAAGAGAGGGAAGGGAGCGCAGCTGTTGTTTTTCCTCAGGGGGCGGGGTTTGAGGTGTGTGTGTGTGTGTGTGTGGGGGGGGGCTTTTCTCCTGTAGGTGGGATGCCCCTTTAACTACCATGGCTCTGTGGCACTCTTTGGTAGAGAAGGCCACAGACCAGTGGTTCTCAACCTGTGGGTCCCCAGGTGTTTTGGCCTACAACTCCAGGAAATCCCAGCCAGTTTACTAGTTGTTAGCTTTTCTGGGAGTTGAAGGCCAAAACATCTGGGGACCCACAGGTTGAGAACCACTGCCACAGACCTTCTTGAAACTACAACTCCCAGGAGTGCCTAGCACTGAGCTGTGGACAGTTAAAGCGGTGTCAAATTGCACTGTAAAGTGTGGGTACACATCATGAGAAGACAGGAAATCTTCCAGAAGACAATGATGTTCTGAGAGTGCCTTGGACCACCAGAAGATCCAACCAGTCCATACTTCAGGAAATAAAGCCCGACTGCTCATTGGAGGGAAGGATAGTAGAGGCAAAGATGAAGTACTTTGGCCACATAATGAGAAAGGAAAGCTTAGAGAAGACAATGATGCTGGGGAAAGTGGAAGGAAAAAGGAAGAGGGGCCGACTAAGAGCAAGTTGGAGGGATGGTATCCTTGAAGTGACTGGCTTGACCTTGAAGGAGCTGGGGGTGGTGACGGCCGACAGGGAGCTCTGGCGTGGGCTGGTCCATGAGGTCACAAGAGTCGGAGGCAACTGAATGAATAAACAAGGCCAAAACATCTAGGGACCCACAGGTTGAGAACCACTGGTCTATACTATAATAGTGTGTGTAGGTGTATGTGTGTATATATACACACACTGTACAGTATATACGATAGTGCACTATAGTATAGAGGCATTATACAATGTATATGTGTATACACACACTAGTATAGATACACTATACACTATAATAGAGATGCATAATAATAATAATAATAATAATTGTATTACACACCTCTCCTTGCAGCTTCAGGCAGTTTAAAACAGAGCGATGAGACAGAAGCCTCTCTCTCTCTCTATATATATATATATAAGGTAAAGGTAAAAGTTTACCCTTGACATTAAGGCCAATCGTGTCCTATCTATCTATCTATCTATCTATCTATCTAGGTAAAGATTTTCCCCTGACATTAAGTCCAGTCATGTTCGACTCTGAGGGTTGGTGCTCATCTCCATTTCTAAGCTGAAGAGCTGGCGTCGTCCATAGACACCTCAAAGGTCATGTGGCCAGCTTGATTGCATGGAGCACCATTACCTTCCCGCCAGAGCAGGAAGGTAACCTTTTCAGGGTTTTTTTTTAAACTTCTAGGTTGGCAGAAGCTGGGGCTAACAGTGGGAGCTCGCACTGCTCCCCAGAGTCGAACTTGTGACCTTTCGGTCAGCAAGTTCAGTAGCTCAGGCGAGATTGAAAAATAATCATAATAATAAACAATAACAAAGAAATACCTGCCTCTCTTCAGGACTTGATAATGGTTGTTCTTCCATGTCACATAACCTCAGAAATATGGTGTTCCCAGCTATGAAGAGTTCTGATTTTAGAAGCAAAAAAAGGGGCATGCTATATAGGTGAGTGATGATGTGTCCCCAAGCCATTTTGTGACTATTTATTGGAAAGCATCAGGAATAATTGGGTCAACAGAGAGTCGGAGGTGTTTATATCCATTGGTTGGAATGTATCTGTCGATATATTTATATCTAGAGCCACAAATTCAACCATGACTTGAAATATATATATATATATATATATATATATATATATATATATAGTCTAAAAATACACCTTGATTTTACCATTTTATATGCATTTTGTACTAGGCCATTGTGTGTAATGAATTTTGGTATGCTGGATCTAAACCCCAGAGGAAACCAAGGGGCCATATATGTGTGTGCTTGCTCAGAAATAACATCTATAGATACATTATAGGATTGTGGTTCTCATTCAAATAGCCAAGGGGCCATGCTGATGGCTCCACATCCCCAAATGGACTTCCATAAGGATTAACTTGAGAGTTCACATATTGCCAAAAATACTCTCTATATTTATGCTTACTCTTCTAATCCCATCTCCATGGTAATGGTCTATTTATTATTCTGTAGATCTGGGGAGGGGGGTGTTGCATAATCGTCTGTGGGTAGGGCCACATAAGTTTGGAGAGAAATGCTGGCACACTACAAGAAATAGATATAATTAATGGCTGCTCCTGGTGCCTTTTCAGTCTGCAATTCTGCAGTTGTCTCTGCATTACTTACAGAAATCAAGTGATTTGGTTATAGTCAACAAGGGATTTGACAGGATTTCTAGGCTAGAAAGGAGTAGGGGGACTCCTTTCTAACCTAGAAATCCTGTCAAATCCCTTGTTGACTTGATTTCCGTTTCTGCATCTCTGCTATGCTTGCTTCTAATCTGAATATACAATTATTATTATTATTATTATTATTATTATTATTATTTCTTACCCACCTCTCCTTAAGGCAAGGTACAACATGATTAAAATGCACAGGGTGCATCTATAGCACAAATGCAGTTTGACAACACTAACCTGCCATGGCTCCATGTAAAGATTGCTGGTGCAATATCTTGCCAAACTACAAATCCCTTTGGTTTTAACTATATATTTTAATAAAATCTATTTTAATGCCCTTATGCTTTGGGTTTTCATCTACATATTGTATGACTTTTGGTGTTAGCTGATCTGACAGAGAAGAAGTAGGATATAAATGATCATAATCATATCCTCATCCCAGGATTACATCTCATTGAAATGAGCCATAACAACTAAAGGCCCCATCTCCACCGGCATATAAAATCCAGATGACCTACTTTGAACTGGATTATATGGCAGTATAGATCTATATAATCCAATTCAAAGCAGATAATCTGGACTATCTGATTTGAAAATTTGGATTATATGGCAGTGTAGATCCAACCAAAGTTGTATCAATCTGTATTAATTATATAGGATGAGTCTATTAATGTAGTTTGACACCACTTTAACTATGGTTCAATGCTAAAAACCATAGGAGTTGTAGTTTTACAAGGTCTTTAGCCTTCTCTGCCAGAGAGTGCTGGAGTCTCACCAAAGGACAACTTCCAAGATTTCCCAATATTCGTCCCTGGAAGTTAAAGTACTGTCAAACTGCATCAATTCAGTAGTATTAATGTACCCTTACATAAAAACCCAGTATAGCTATGCCTATAGATACAAACACAAAACTTCTAGAATCACTTATGGTATGTTAAAAGACATAGACATAAGATTAAAAACATGCATATGTCCAGTATAAGGAGTAGCATGTAAGTCACCCGTTTTCACTGGGCAAAAGAGAAAGCAAAACATTGAGGTTCTGCATGCTATATGCTCTATATATTTCAGCTTCATTGATTCAATAACCCCAAATTTAGTTTCCCTCCTACTTTACATTTCCTCCTTTACTGAGAGACAGAGAAGGTTGTTCCTGTTTCTTGTGTCGCAGAACTGAGAGGAAACCAAAGGTTGATTTTTCACTGTTTTACTTGGGCTTCCTGTTTTCTTTCCATTCTGTAACTTGAGCACAGAGACAATTCTCTACCTTTGGCAGAAGGAAATCAAATTATCAGGCCTATTGTGTGTTCACAGGCCTTCAGGCTTTTTAACTGGTTGAGTGCCTCTGGTTCTATATTTTATTGTTGCGTTTTTTAAAAATGTGTGTTTTTAATCTTTCTCTTAATGTATTCATTTTTATGTATGCTTTTGTTAACATTGTGCTTTTAATTTGCAAACTATTACTGACTGCATTGAGATAAACAAATAAATGAAACAGTTAATAAAACACAAAAAAGAGGATGGTCCCAAACAGTAAAATTACAGTTGTTCCTCCAGCAAGACCACACATTTTGTTTTTGTACTTTGCCTGCTGAGCTAAGCATATTCAACCCAAGGCATGCTTAATCAAGGGTACATCCCACTAAATTCAGGCCCCATCTATGCTGCCATTTATTTCAGTTTCTGAATCCAGATGATCTGCTTTGAACTGGATTGTATATATATGGCAGTGTAGACTCATATAATCTAGTTCGAAGCAGATAATCTGGATTCAGAAACTGGATTATATGGAATTGTAGATCCAGCCTCAGCAAATCCTAATCCTATGGAAATCACAAATACATAAGATTATAGTTTAAAATAACATTACAGAGTATGGATCCCGTCATTGGGTTCACAATGCACTTTGTAGCCCCTTTAAGATGTCATTTAGCTTGCATGGTTCCAACACATTCAATGGTTGTTGACAATTTCTATTGATGTCCAAATTAGTTTAGCAGTCAATTCATTTTCACACTACTTTTTCACTGTAAGGTGGGTCGCCAGTTGTTGTTGGATTGCAGTTCCTATCAACTCGAGCTAGTACTCTAGAGCAGGCATGGGCAAACTTTGTCCCTCCAGGTGTTTTGGACTTCAACTCCCACAATTCCTAACAGTCTACTGGCTGTTAGAATTTGTGAGATTTGGAATACAAAACACCTGGAGAGACAAAGTTTGCCCATGCCTGCTCTAGTCCCAAAGGGACTGATTAAAGCTGCAGCAACATATTTTGCCCATAGTAGCAAGAAAAATGCAGATATCCTTCCACATTTACATGTTTGATTACAATGCTAAATGTTCTCCAGGAATATCTGGGTCTTTCACTCAATTCCCACTGGAGGTTGATCAGAAAGTCATGCTGAAGCATTTAGTGATTCCTAGAGTTTAACAAGATGTTTATTCTTT